ATTGTCAGACTAAGTATAATGCTATCTGTCAGGCTAAATATCAGGTCATCGCTCAACCTAAGTATCATGCTAAAAGTTGGGCTAAGTATCAGGCTCTCTGTTAGACTAACTGTCAGGCTAAGTATCATTATACCTGTCAGGTTTAGTGTGAGGCTAACTGTCAGGTCAAATGTTAAAACATAATTTTACACACTGTCACTGCTTTTACAGTTTTTGAACGTTGCACTATTCTGTTATTTTCAGCATTTATTTTTCTGTCACCCTTGATGCCAGATTTTTGTTACAGATTCGTTTTTTTCTTTTTGCAGTGCAACGACTATTAAAGTCAATGTTGACTACAGTCACTATTAAAACACAGGATATGATTAGAAACAGTAAAGCTGTAGTCAGCTGTACAGTAAATACACTTTTACGTAAACTATAATAGTAACAGTAAAATACTGGCTGCTCGTCTCTCACAGGAACATTTGTTTCAGTCCACAAATATTCATTTGTGCAGCTTCTCGGGTCTCATTGTGCCTGAATGTGTTGCTGTAAGTCTGAAGTTCTTTCCTCTGGTGAATATGAAGCTGCAGAGCCGCTAACACAGAGCTAACACCGTCTCTCCTCCACTATCTCAGCTTCCAGTCCCTCATCCTGAACATCTCGGCGGATGATTTATGTAGCAGTGTTGCTCTGTGACCTCAAAATCCGCCCCATCCATACCGCACCTGTCACCGCGCCGCTGCCTGCACGCTTACTGAAAACCAAGCCATCCGTGCAAAATGGCAATTTTCCACCCACCTAGAGAATGAAAAAAAAAAAGAGGATAGAACCCATTCAGAGGCGAAACCAGGAAAACTCTGTGATATGTAGAGCAGGTGTGCGAGGGCTCGGGCCTCCGCTAACGAGGGAGCTGAACTGCACGCACCGCCGACCGCAACATCTGTCGTTTGCGGCGATGCAGAGTTTAGTTTTTAGCTCTGCAACACGGCGACAGGCAGCGCATGATGAAGCGCTCAGGACGGCTGCAGATGGAAGGGACCGAGGCCCGGCTTCGGCTGGGGGCACCGGGGTCCGACGCCGGGGCTCGCTAGCATATGATGCACGAGGATCCGGCGGGGAAAAGCAAAGGATGGTGCCGGTCTGCCGGGGGAAACGAGGTGAGGCCTGGCCCGACCCGACCCGACCCGGCTCACCGTCCCGGGAGGAAGCCCTAACGAGCTCATCAGCACTAACGAAGCCTAACAAGCTCCTAATTGGCAGCGTTGTGACGTCCCCGAAGGTCGGAGGGCGGGTTCTGGTGCCAGCAGTAGAACAGGCCGAGACCTGCCGCCAACAGAACACCATGTGACCCGCTAGCATCCCTCCGAGCGGTTAAAGTCAGGGAAGGTCGACAGCAACGTCCTACACAAACAACAGCTTAGAGGAGACGTCGTTCTACAAAACTAAGGAACTTATTAATAACATATAATAAATAACGGCAGCAGTGAGATGTGTCTGAACCCGACTTTCCTTCTCTCCTGTAAATCACAACATCATAACATTAAACTGACCGTACATTAAAAACCTCTGAGTTAAAGGTCCAATCAAACACAGACGTCTTATTTTTCTTTAACGACAATAAATGAAACAACAGATGAAGCTTCTCGGACTCCTAACGGCCCAGATATCGCTGATGAAATGCTGCCACCTGCTGGCCACTGTGCAGAGGCACAGCTTTTCCATAACAACACTCCAGCAAACTCTGCAACAACATGAGCAAGACGTGTTTTAACAGACACTGAAGTGGCTTTTGAGAGTTTCTGCAAATAAACGAAATGTAAATCAACTGAGAAATCCATCTCTTGCATTTTATTTTGTTGCATCAGGTGCAGCCACGTCAGCATTTAGTCGAAATATCTAAAAACTGGAACGTTGGAAGCTGATGTTAGAGCCTCAACAGGTGGTGAGATGGGCCAGAGACTGGATTCTAATAAAACCATGGATCCATCCATAGATAGACTCTGAGAGGGACCTTCTAGGGCCACAGTAACACCCTGGCTTGGCACATTTTTCCATTTTCAAGAGCCAAAAATTTAACAATTTGGTAATTTTGGACAATTTTGAATGAGCTTTGTCATATTTTAAACACACTTTAAGTCATTTTGGACACGTTTCAAGTCAAATTAGCAAAACATTGGAACCTTGTCTGGTCCAACTTTCCAGAACCATGGATCCATCCATGTATATACACTGATAGGAACTTTCTGGAGACACAACACCGGCCTGGATTGAACATTTATCACCTTTTTGTCCATTTTAAGGGACCAATTAGTTTTTATTATTGACATTTAGGATCATTTCTAGTAACTCTGGACTAGTTTTGAGTCACTTTGGACAGATTTCAAGTCAAAACGACAACAAACTGGAGGGCTGGGGTCACATTTCCACAAATTATAAGGATTTATTGTTGACTTTTTGGACAACTTTTACAAATTTTGGACAAACTTGGGTTATTTTGGACAGATTTCAAGTCATGATAACGGAAAACCAGAACCTGGTCTGGTCCAACTTCACCACATCAGGTTCTACTGATGTTAGAGCCTCAACAGGTGGTGAGATGTGACCAGAGACTGGGTTCTAGTAGAACCATGGATCCGTCCATAGATAGACTCTAACAGGAACCTACTGGAGATCAACACCAGCCTAGTTTGCCTTTTTTTTCTCCATTTTCAAGGACCAATAATTAAAACTGTGTCCTCTGCTGCAGACATTCATACTGTTAGATCTGCTGTGAACTGTTCCGTCACCACGTTTCATGGCTGTTGGAGTTTTATTTCTGGAACTCTTAAAATGATTAAAAGGTTTTTCTGAGGGTAAAAATACAAAACTCTCGGGTCTGACAACATGAAATTCTCAAAATTGAACCACAATATAGTGAAGGGAAGACGGTGCAGCAGCACTGGTATCTGAAATGACACAAACTGACCCAGCTGTGGTCCAGATGTTTTATCAGCTTTACAGATAAAAAGAGGAAACTATGTACATGAAATATGTATTTTCACCAATAATGCAACTGCAAGCAGGTTTGTAGGAACATGGAGGACTGTTCAGTTCAATAATGACAATATGAGCCACAGAAAAAAACCCGTCAAATTAAAAGTGTAACTTACAAAATAAAGAGTGATTATACATTCACGCTTGCCAAGTTTAAACACACGTCTCAGTTTGAAATGTTCTCACAAGTCATGAAGCTTTGAAGACAACTAAAACCCAGACTTTACAAGTCTGACTGGCCAGAAATAAGAGACAGCAATAAAAAGGATTCACCTGAAATGCTACCAAAGCAGCAGAAAATACCCAAATAAAAACAAAAGGTAACTTAACTAAACATATTGAGGAAGTAAAATGAAAACTCTTGATGGACATTTACACATCTGGGAGCTGTTGGTAGCTGAGCTGGACTCCAGTGACTGTAGGATTTAAAAGCACTGGAACATGTTTGTATACTTTAACATCTACCCTCTTTCTAAAAACGACACCAAAGCAAAAGAAATAAAGACAAGTTTTTCTTAAAAGTTCTGTACAGGTCAGCAGCAGGTCGGCTCACTCCGACGTCCCACACAGATTCGTCAGGCGATTCTGTCGGGAAGAAAAGTGAAACATACGATGAGAAGCAAAGCAAACGTTTCCCTCCGATGGACTAAATCCATGAAGGTCCACAGTGATGCTGCAGAAATGCTGAACTTACCCTCAGCAGCCGGATGCTCTTCAGGGCGGTTTCATCCAGCAGCGACAGGTCGACCGAGTCCATCTCGCTGGCCAGCAGCTGAATGCTCTGATGGACAAGTTAGAGGACGG